CTTACCATAAATGGCATTTGATATTGAGCCTTTGCAATGTTTGTTTGGAATATGTGCCAAAGTCAGATAGGTATATTAGATCATTAATCTATTCAGCCATTTTTTTCTTTGTTCAAATTCTTTAGTAATTCAGCCATATCTTTTAATTGCCCTTTCATCTTTTTTTATGCTCTTTCCATATTTTAGAAGTGAAGAGCTTATTCTTCTGGCATAATTCTATCTTGATATGGAGATTGAGCTATGCTCGAACCTTTTTACCAAAATTAGGATGATATATTACTAGATACCAAGAATCATTCTAATTTATTGAAAGCATCTTCTATATGCATGAATGAATGAATGCACTGAATGCTTGGCATAACAAACTATGATGTCTAAACACATGAATGCATGTGCAATAATGTATGAATGGATAAATGAATGCTTGTATTAATGTTTATCATATTATGATGGATGGATGAATACATATGTTAGTGATGCTAAATTAAAATACAATATGTTAGTAATGCTAGATTAAAATACAACACACAACATACAATAAGTTAACAATAAATAAAAGATAAAATAGAGCTAAAAAAGTTCACCCATATGTCCTAACTAGAGTTACATTCTAACAACGGGTAGATATGGCTCTAACCTAAAGTTGACTTTTTATGTTTTACTACATATGGTTTGGATTAAATCTAAAGGTTCTCAAATTAGTCTCATATAATTGTCCATCACAGACTAGTAAGACACTCAAATCCTTACTCATTATAGGCTACAAATAGAAATGATTCAATTTGAGTGAGAGTATTTGGCTAGCCCATGTGAAGATATAAAATTTCACAAAAAGCGAAGGTATTTTACTCCCTTCTAAGGAACATAGCTCAGGTATAGAGCTTATGTTAAGCGCATGCAAATGGATGACAAAATATTAAAAACTTGAAAAATAAATTAAGAAGAAAAAAAATCTTTTTAAGGAAAACATTGAGCTTGGATAACATAAATTCATTTACTGGCTTGACTCTCAGTGTTCCCAGTGGAGTCACCAAACTGTTATAACGTATAGATAAGTAAACTTATAGCTAGCTTGACTTTAGAAGTTGCCACCAATCTTTTTTTTTTTATTTAGGTGTGGTTGGCTACCTAATTGAATCTATCCATTTTTAAAGAAAAATTTCAAGCTTAACTTAGATATCTTTAAAAGATAGATTTTATGTCTACAAAGCCAAGACTAGATTAGGGAGTACAATTATGTGTGAGAAATGTTATAACACCCTCACAACGCTCATCAAATAATAGTACCAGTTTGATTTTATATTATACAAGCCTTAAAATGTGTTTGTAATTTACCTAATAAATTTAATATTAAAAATTATTCGTAAAATTACTCCAATCATTTGGTAGTAATATCAGACAATTTTTTCACCTCATGAGTATTCATGTAGACTTGTGTCTCATTCTAAAAAGGCTCCATCATCGAATTCATTAACATATTTTTTAAGAAATCATTTTTTAAAAATCAATCAATAAAATCCTCTAATCATTTGGTAAGATCTTATATCCATGCATATCCTCTAATCATTTGATGTAATTTTTTGTTGAAAATCTTTTTATGAAAAATTTTTAAAAAATAATGGTCATTAAATCCTCCAATAGTTTGATAAAATTTAACAAAAATCTAAATCCTTTAATCGTTTGGTAGGATTAAAAATTTATTTTATTTTTTTCAAATCCATTATGAAATTCTCCAATCATTTGGTAGAATTTATAATAAATAAAAATCCTCCAATCATTTGATAAGATTGAAAATTTATTATAAAAATTTATTTTAAATAAAGAAGAAAGAGAAACATCTAAGTAACATAAATAAATATAAAAATAAAGAAGAAAAAAAATATAAATTACCTCATCTTCTTTCTTGTTTCTCTGAAACCCTTAAAAATTTTACTGTAAAATTTTTTTTGTTGAATATCTCCTTTTTGTGTTTTTTCTCAACTCTTTTCTCCAACAAAAACTCTCGAAAGAAAATCCTAATTATCTAAACTCAAAACATCAGAAAGACTATATAAAAAAAAACTTTTAATTTTTTTGATTCTTTGTCTCTGCTTTTTTGCTGTGTATATCTCTATTTTTTCTAATTGATTGTTGATTGTCTCTAATTGATCCTAACAGGGTCTTTTTATAGGCCTTTAATCCAAATCATAATAGGAGAAGGTTTTCTTGGTTTCAATCTCCTAATCAAAGCCAATTTTAGATTTTTAATCCAATTCCACCTCTCAAATCAATACATTCCCTTTTTCAATTAGAACATAACAGTTCAAACTGAATCAAACTTTTCCTTTTTTAACAAAAAAAAATATAAATCAATTAATTAACAAAATAAATAATCTTAAATTAAACAAAATACTAAAATCCTAAAATTAAAAAAATACCCCGAACTAAATGGGACGTTTACACCAGGCCTCTAGCTTATATTTTAGCTTTGTTATCTCAATCTAAGCATTGTTGAGCTTAAGCTCGGTCTGTTCCTTCATGGACTTAGTTGAGGCCTTATCAACAAAGATGGCCTCTAGCTTGGCTATCAGCTCATTGTTTCTTTTCCTCAGCTTAGCCTTCTTTTTTTGGGATGCGCTAAGGCTGGGTCTAACATTACCTAATGCGTTTAAGCTCTTTTTATGCTCGTCGACTAGGAGAGCCATATCGTTCTCGGACTTCAACAAGTGGCCCATGGCATGATAAGCGTGGTGGAGTGCCTAGCTGGTGTTCTCTAGGGGTTGAAGTGGAAACTTTTATTAGACTGCACGAAAAGAACTCAAACTTAGAAAAATGAAAAACAATAAGAAATCATGTTAAGGTCAAGTAGTACTCATCAAAAGGAGGCACTGTAACCTTGCAAAACCTTCTCGTTATGTCTAGGTTCATGGTAGGGTCATCAGTTAGAGCATACTCCAACCTTGTCAAGATCTTTTCTGAGCTAGGCCTTAATACCTTAGTTTGGGTGTTCTTAAGGGTGGAAGAGTAGACCTCCACTTGTGGCTTTTTGATAGGAGGAGAAGGTGTTGGTACTGATGTTGAAGACAAATCCTGACCGGTCCTAGCCTTTGTTTTTTAGGCTATGAAAGAGTGATGCAATGGAGTATTGATGACCTTGTCTCCCCTGCGAGATAGGACCCTAAGTTGAATTTTTTTTTGCCTCTTCTTGGGCTTGGGGGCATGTTCGTATAGCCCAAAGTCAAAGTTTTCATTGCTAGTCATATTTGTAAAATCAAGCTAACTGTTAGAGAAAATCAGGTTAAAATAAAATCCTATCAGGTTACCTTAAACCTACTCCAGTACTTCATCTTATTTATTACATTAGGAAGGTCAGCTCATGGGCATAAATGACGAGCTCCTCTTATAGGTATACTCCAAAATTTTATCTCAATCTAATAGATCCAGGATAGAGAAAGCCACATGTGTGTCCACAAAAGCATTGGGCATACTTTTTATCTTCTAGTCCTTAACCTCGAAAGCATCCTCAACCTCGGGCTCACCATCTCTATTTATTTTTTGCTTTTTGAGGTAAATGAATAGCGGCTTCCAATTTTTATTAAGCTTGAGCAATTGGTAAATAATTTTTTATTGGGCTGAGCTATTATATAGTACCACCTATTATCGCTGAGGTGCTTTTTGAGAAAAAAATTTTCTTGAATAGAGAAAGAGAAGGAAGAATATTTAAATGTTGACATAGAAGGCTGAAAGAACTATGTATCGTACAAAATTGAGAGTGAGATGAGTGATAGTTAAATTATAAGAATTAAAAATCAAAACAAATAAAGAATGAAGTGGAAACTTTAGACCAACCAACAAAGTATCTTAATATACATAGAGCCAATGTGGCTCTAATTTATCAGTGACTCGATTTGAAGAGTTCGACATTATTATACTGTATCCCTCTTTGGGAAAAAAAAAGTGATCGCTAAAGCATAGACATGATAAGCTGAACACATGTTAAGACAGTCTTTAAGATTTGTCCTACTTTTTAATTCGCTCATCATATCTTTGGAGATCATGCCAAAGTTACAGAAAGTATATACAAAGACCTCGACCAATTCGTCTTGCTTTACAGGACTCTTCATTTTGCCATCACTTTTCTCGACCAAGATGCTCATTTCCTCTTATTCTTCCTTAGAACCTCTCTTATCAAAATCTCCACCGTTAAAAGACTATGACTTGTGAAAAGACTAGGATTTTGAGGTGGAACTATAGTTGAGAGTAACTCAACTTTAAGGCAAGAAGGGCAAGGTGAAGACCCCTTACGAGAGGAAAAGATCTCGATAAGAATTGACTAGGGTAGAATGGAAGTGACAATGAGAGCATTGATAGAGGAAAGAATAGAAGTAGAAAAAATTGACTTAACTGAATCTCAGAAAAGGGAATAGCCAAAGATGAAGGAAAGTCGATCATAGAAGATAGACCGACCTGAGAGACATGGAAAGGTGGTAGATTTTGTAGGTCAAAGTCTATTGAGCACATAGCTTTTTCATTTTCAAAACCTGTTTTTCTCTTACCCAAGCATTTTTTTTGTTTCACCGCTGCCCTTTCTCATACATAAATTGAACCAAAAGGCTATCTTCTCACAATTATGATTCTTGATGAATGGTGCAATCAAATCATTATTGTCTTGCCCACGCTAAGTTTTTTGCCCTATAACTCTCGACCTTCTCAAATCTTACACTAGAAAACATAGTTAAGAATATGTACCGAATAAAGTGTAAAAAAACTTTAAGGTTGGAAAGCTTTTAAGGTAGAAAAGTTCAAAATGGATTAAGAGTATAGAAAGCAAAAAGGTGGAAAACTGGAGCCCTAACACCCCTTTATATAATCGCAAGGTAGATCAGAGGAATGACGCAAATCATGCCACGTGTTAGAGTGAAAATGGCAGACATCTTTTCATTTTCCCTATCTAAATTTTTTCGCTTAAACTATTTCTTTCCTTGTTTAATGCCATCAAACTAATCAGACTGGATGAACCATAGCTCAAATTAGCTAGACTAGACAACTCCCTAGAACAAATCGAATGCCTAGCTTGTCACCAGAAGTCAAAGTAAAGTTTCCCAAACCTAAACCCTTGAAATAAAACACAACTCTCACATTGACTAGATGAGCTCATTCATCAATTTTGAATCACTTCGAACAATTTACACCTTGGTAACTTTCAAGCCAGCTATGCACTTAGTTCAAGGCATATGAGAAAAATCAGATCCTTACCATATCAGACCACGACTCAATATTCTTCCGATACCAACATCTTCCATGATGTTGGCCTCAAAGAATCAAATTTCACATTATTTCCACCTACCTTACATCGGATGCATCGATCAAACATCCAGCAGCCTGACACTCAGATTGCCTAGCAGAAGGACAAAATGTTAAGACCATTTGATGGTTAAAAGGGCATAATAGTCTTTCTCCTTCTTAGAAGCCTTTAGCAAACAATCAGTGGTATTTCTATCATTTGCACCGATCTGACATGTCAGGTCAGTTTAACATGCTCATTGCCACATCAGCTCCGCACTATCCTTATTGTCTCCTGATGGTCCCAATTGCTCATTTATAAATATGAAGGTTCATACACCACTAAAATAAGTTGATCCTAGACCTATTTCCTCCTTACTTTTTTCTCTACCTTTTTCTATTTGACTTATGTGTCGGAATGTAAATGCAAAGAATACACCTTGCCTTTGCCACTTACCGTCGTTCTTTTCTATTTTTCTAGGAATGTCCTAAGGTCGAAGCTCGGCACAAACAGGTATAATGCTGTCCAGAGAAAGGAAATTAAGAAAAGATAATGTTGGTTCGTTCTTAGTGATCTGCTACTCTTTCTGTCAAAACAATGCGGACACAAAATATTAAAAGTACTTCCTGATGTAAAATTAGAGCCATGAAAAGGAAAAAACAAAACTGTCAATAGCATCTTAAAAGTTAAACCTAACAAAAACATCATTACCACGAAAATATGGAGTACATAGCATACAAAATTGAGATCTTTCTCTTGTATGATCTTAGTATTTACAGAATATCTCATTGATTACAAATATCAATCTTCTATATAACTAGTTTACAGGAAGAATGCAGCTCTAGTCAGTGTTAGAAACACTATGGCAAACATTACAACGAGAAAACATTCGAGGTAATTGATCTAAATCATTTTGAATTCTATGGTATCTACGTCACTTTATGCCTCCAAAGAGTGCAGAAAGACATTTGTACAGTGCTGCCAGAAACACAAAATCAGGAAGCTAAAGACGAGCCCAAGTCAAGATCAGCAGAACCTAGCATGTCCATCTTCGTGAATCCAGTGCCAAACATTTTACAAAAAAGCAGTTCATCTAGGCTCAATCATACTATGTCATACTATTCCATGAAGAGTGGGTGTAAGACTCTGGCTGAGAATCACAAGTTGCAGATGAAATGTTTCGGCTAACTTCCGAGCTACCAGAATTCAAGAAAGGAGGCTGTGTTGGCCGAGGAATTTCAAGAGTATCATCAATAAGCATTTGCACAACTTTTGACATTGATGGTCGCATTTCTGTAGAGGCTTGTACACAGAGTAGGCCAATTTGAAGCAACCTAGAGGCCTTTTCTTGAAAATTATCCTCTATAACAGGATCAACAGCTTGGCAGAGTTTATCCGCCTCATAATGTTTCCAAACCTTTCAATTTAGAGAAAAAAAAAAAAAGGATCTTTGGTGAGTTTAGGATCTCAAAAATAGAGAAGAAAAAGTTTCATCAGAGCATTACTTCTATGATATGCCGGCAAAATGAATTACCATGTGTAGGATAGAGATTGAATCTAGAGAGAAGCACTTATTCCTCTTCCCACAAGTGATTTCAATAACAAGAACACCAAAACTATAAACATCCGCCTTCTCAGTCAACTTGCCAAATACAACATATTCCGGAGCCATGTAACCTCTAGAGATGCAAAGTAATTGAACTCACAGTTAGTAATATAGAACGAAAATAACTACATAATTTTGTTATTTAATATGATCAATCTTCAAACACCAAAAGGGAATCCCTATAATTTTCTAAAGAGCAACAATACATTCAAAAGTTTAAAAGATAAATGTTGAAGTCATATACAAGTGGGGAGATCTGCAACAAGTTGTTTAAATCTGAGATAATATGTCAGAGAAAACAAGAATGCCGCATGTTGAATACTATAGATAGAGTTTTCTAAGCCAAGAGCTAATAAGTGTGAGTTATCTGAACCACACAAACATCAAGGTAATTCTAAGTGAAATAACAAAAAATTATTTAAAAATCAATGTAGAAAATCAAAATTCTTGAACTTACAATGTGCCAGCAATGGCAGTGCTGATGTGAGTCTTATCTTCGGGAAAAAGTCTAGCAAGCCCAAAATCAGCAATTTTTGGTGTAAGGCCTTCATCAAGCAAAATATTGCTAAGTTTTATGTCTCTATGTATGATCCTCAACTTTGATTCCTCATGCAGATAGGCCAAGCCTTCAGCTGTACCCAAGACGATCTTGTATCGTGCCTCCCATCTTAGCGGCTCAACATCTTTTTTAACTGTATCAAATTCATCAACTCATAAATGAAAAAGAAAAAATTAGAAGTATTAACAAATTGCTCTAGCTAAATAAGAGTTCGTAGATAACAACCGAAGAGGTAATCATGAAGGCTCTGGTTTGGCACGTATTCATAAACAAGAAGGCTTTCTGGGCCTGTAATGCTGCATCCCAACAGCTTTACAAGATTTTTGTGATATATGCCACTGATTAAATTGACTTCATTGAAGAAATGATCCACCCATTGCCTCGTATTAAAAAATAGCCTCTTTATCGCGACAACCTTCCCATTAGGTAAAGTTCCCTATTTGACAGAGAACAATTTAACTTGTTAGTTTCTTGAATGAAGATGTGATTATCTGCTAAGACTAAGAGAACTAAAAGTCAAATAACAACATACCTTATACACAGAACCAGATCCTCCTTGTCCCAGCTTATTGGAGTCATTAAAGTAATTTGTAGCCATTTCAAGAGATTCATATGAGAAATTCAACTTGGACTTGTTCAAGATGGGCGATAAAGCTCCTAATTGCTTACTCTCTATGCCAAAGAAAGATAAATTTCATTTCCACAATTAAGATACAAAACATTCAAGCTCTTTAACAACAAGGATAGATACCTCTCCTTTTCTTTACAAGTTTCTCATTCACAAAGAAAATAGCTGTTGCAATAATCAGTGTTAGAGCCACAGCGGAGAATGTTGTAGCCATGATAATTGCTAATTTTCTGCGTCCTGACAACCATTGTAACATTATTGTGTCAATAAAATATGTATGGAGAAAATTCCAAGAATAATGATGCAACCTTATAAAAAACTGCAGATTCTTTTACATGAGAATATGAATTGGATAGTTCAATTTGATATCCACATAATGGTTAATTTCGTATTACCGTGAGTTCAATACAGAATTGGAATATGAAAAACTACAAATGCAAAAGAAATTGAGAAGCGAAATAGTTCACAGGCTTAACATTCATGGCAGAAGAATGAAAAGATTTAAAGCTAAAAACCAGAAACGAAAATCTTAACTCACCTCGATTCCCAACAACTGGAGGAGCAGTTGAATTGTAATAAAACCTCTCTGTTGAATACCTCAAGTAACAACCAGCATTCAACACCCTCCCTTCTTCCTTGGGAAGACATGAACTAATCCTAGAAACCGCATTGGCCAAGCAACCTTCACAAGCACTCCCATTCACCAATTCCCAACACTGAGCCAATCCATAAACCGACACATTCCCTCTACCCACAGACCCCACAAAGAACCCATCGTTCTTTGGAGCTTCCACGCTCAAATTTCTCACCAACTGCATCACATTAACTTTAAAAACTGTCTGGTTACCGGAAGCAACATCATTTGCAGCACAAACAGTTTGGTCTTCTTCACTCAAACTTTCATTAAAGAAATTATAATCATCGTACCTTAAATAACAACCATCATAGAAAACCCTGCCTCCCAGTGTGGCTAACTGATATGGGAAACAGCTCAGGATCTGCGCTTTGCATTGAGCAAAGCAGACGTTACAGTCGTTTTGATCAAGATCTTTCATGCACTCGCCAAATCCATACACTTTGGTGTCACCACTTCCCTTGACAACAGCTGCGTACCTCTGCTGAACGATGAGTGGGGTAAAGGTTTCCACGACCGCTAAGAAATTTGCTATGAAGGTTTGGCGCCCTGTTGTTGAAGCGGTTCTGTTGGTGCATACCAAAGCTGCCTGTGTTGCTCTTGGATCAGAAAGAGAAAGCTTTGCCAACAAAGAGAAGAAAAAGAAGAATAGAAGAAAAAAGAATAAAAACTGGTTCATTTCTTGATGAATGAGCAAAACCGAAAATCTCAAATGAAAAGAACACAAAAAGCGGATATTGGGGGGGGGGGGGGCGCGGAGGTTCCGTGATGTCCGTTCTAGAAGCAATTCGGAGTATGGGAAGAGTAAAAGCGATAGTGGGTTTGACTTTTGAGACGAAGATAAATCAAGAAACTTGATATATTTCAATGGCTTAGTGGCAATATTGCCGTGGGAACACGAAAACGCGTGAAACGTCCAATGGGAAAGGAAGAGAATACGAAGACAGTATGGGGGCCGACCCTTCCTCTGTTTCAGCTAAGACCCAGATGTCATTTTAGTTGGTGAATCGGACAAGTTGCGGACCATGCTAGATTTGTCGACGTTTGGAATTTTTGTGTCTTGTTGTCACATAACCTAGACAGACACGCTAGTTTGCGTTGAGGATGACGTTCTCTGGAAACTGACAGTTCTGCGTTCGATGTTGGATACAAAACAGATTATATTTGATTAATAGTTAATATATAAAATTTATATTCTATTATCATTTTATTAATAAAAACATAATTTTTTATAAATTTTTAAAATAAATGTATAAAAATTTAATCTTTTAAAAAATATTTTGATTAAAAAATAATATCATTTAATTCATTAATAACATATAAAATTTATAAATTAAAATTACATCAAACATAAACTTTATAAAATATAAGTGAACGGTTCGGTTGTTATTAATAATAAAAGGAAATATTTGACAGCCAATAAAAAATACCAATTTTATGAAATTGGAAGTTTTGAAGAACAGTTCCAAACTCAAAACTACTTTAAATATGTTTTATAGAAATATTCATAAATGTCAATTCGATGGACTGTCAATATATAATGTGAACGTGCCAGTTAGAGCATCTAACTTCACATGACAACTTTTGAAAAATCTCAAATTTATTGTTTTTTTTTTTTTAAATCAAAAGTACATTGATTATTTAATTTTTAAGTTAAAGATAAAATATATAATAACTGATAATTTAAAAAATAATAATTATAAATTATGTATTTAAAATAATTATAATAAAAAATTATCAGTTAAATTTAAATTTAAAATTATTTATGTTGAATAGAACAATTTTACTAATTAAATCAAACTCTTATCGATAATCTCATATTTGTTTTCGAAATAGTGTACTGTCCTCACAGCTGTGTATAGGATTGAGGAAAAAAAAAAGTCTTGAAGGTTGTTGACGAGCCCAGTTTAATATTTACTCTACCCCGCTTGAAAAATCCATTTAAACCATTCCGTTTCTCTCATTTTATTTTTAAGAAGATCAAAAATTGGAAATTGAAATATATATGAAGCGAGTTTTTACTCTTTGTGCCAAAAATAATATAATATAATATAAAAGGACGTGGATAAGGAATTTTTCAACTGATAAAATAAATAATATAATATATTTCAAATTAAGTTTTATTTATTATAATTTTAAATTTTAATAAAAATTAGTTTTACAAAAAATAAAAAAATTTTAATTATATTGAATTAGTGTCATTGAATATATTTTTTTTGAATAATAATTCACTTTTTTGAATAATAATTCACTAGATGACTCTTAATTGATTAAATTTATCAAATAAGAGTAAAGTTAGAGTCAATAAATAATTCAATCAACATAGCATTTGCAGAGCAAGCTATTGGAAACGGCAATAGGTAGTATATCATAATATCTATCCAGCTTTGAAGGACATCATAACAACGTGCAATGACAGCACAAACCTCCTCTTCCGCAATGGATAACATATAATTACGAAGGATGTTAGGTGACTACCAATTGTTAGCACTATTTTTTTAGTATTAAAATATAAAAAATAATTTTTATATTATATATTTTTGTCAAGTTGATAAAAAAAATAAAATTATCAATTTAATATTTTAATTTTTATTTCACCATTCATTTTATACCTGTGACTAATACCCTTAATTAACTCACTAATGTAGTATGCATATCTAATAAGGTATTGATACATATAAATAAATTTTCAATTAACATCACATCATTAATTAATATGTTAGCATTAAAAAATTTAAAAAAATTAGTAAAAATTCAAAAGAAATTCCAAAAGTTTTTGAAAAAAGTTTAAAAAATTTGAATATTTTTTAAAAATTATAAATTAAAAACTGAAAATATTTTAAAAATGATGAAAACTTAAAATTTTCAAAAAATCTCAAAATTTTAATGGAAAATTCAAAAAAATTAATGAAAATAAAATTTTCTTCAACTTAAAAAAATTCACAAAAACTTTAAAATTTTGAAATAAAAAATAAACTTTTTTGAAAAATTCTAAAAATTTTTTAAAAATTGTGAATTTTTTAATTTATGAAAAATTTTTCATTTTTTTGAATCTTACAATTTTAATTTTTATATAATTTATGAACTTTTATATTTTATATTTTTTGGTTTTTTTATTAAATTTTTAATTTTTTAATTTTTTAATAATTTTTTAAGAATATTTCACATTTTTGAAATTTTTTTATTTTTTCAAAAATTTTAAGATTATTTTTATAAATTTTCAAATTTAAAAAAATTATATTTTTATTTCAATTTTTTAAAGTTTTGTGAATCTTTTTTTAATTTTAAGAATTTTTATTTTTAAAATTTTCATTTTTTAAATTTAAGAATTTTTTTTTGAATTTTTTGGATTTTTTAGTTTTGAGATTTTTTGAATTTTTAAGTTTTAATAATTTTTTTAATAATTTTTAAAATATTTCTTTTTTATTTTTTAAAAAGTATTTCATATTTTTTAAAAAAATTTTGTAAAAATTTTTAGAATTTTTAGAATTTTTTTGAAAATTTTATTCAATGCTAACATAATAGTTGATGAAGCGAAACTGACTGAATTTTTTTAATACGTTTTAATATCTTATTAAATATTCATGTCATGTCAGCAAATTAACTAATAATGTTAATTTGAAGTACCAAGATAATGATAGAATGAAAGTTTTAATACCAAACTGACAAATTTATTTATTTTAAGCATCAAACTAACAAAAAGTACATGATATAAAAGTTATTTTTATATTTAATCTTTTTTTATATATAAAAGGTCAAGATTTAAAGAAAATTGACTTAGAAAAAAATTTCAAGTATAAAGGACCGAATCTCAATTTTACTAGAAATCAACTTTTAAGAAGAGTGAATAAACTATTTGGTTAAGACTCATGTTTCACTAAAAATATTCTTTGGTTGGTCTTAATTATGTTGAATATGAGATAGGAGATGAGATGTTAGAGTTCAAACTCGTTCTATACATATTTTCTTAAAACTTTTCTAGTCATTAGATTAATTTTTTTCGACCAACATTAGATCAAGAAGTTGAAATTTTTTTGTCTATGTTGTCTTTACTTTTGACTCATGTTTGTTCTACTCTATTTTGGCTTCGTAAAAAAATCATTTCAACCAAAAGGTTTGACAAGTAATTTTTTATATTTAGTTTGAGATTGAAAATTAATGAGATATATATTCATATTTGTTTTATGTGGCAAGTAAGGGTTCTTCAAACCATTTTTTTTCAAGCAATTTATATAATAAAGTGGTGATAAAGTTTTTAAAAAAATCTTTTTCTATTAATGCATATATATTTTTGCTTTTATTTTTTTATATGTCTCTTAATTAAAATTGTTATTATAGTTTTGGAGACCACTAGACAAATTTACAAACATAAGAAGTTGCTACTAATATTTTTTTTGTTAGGTATAATTGTCTACTAATAAAACTTATTTTTTTAATAAAATCTTAAAACTAATTAAAATTTATTAAAAAGATAATTTTCGAGTCTACGAAAATAATTTTAAGTTCAAGTGTACGATTATATGTGGAAATGATTAACATCTCCACAGCACAACTTTTAAAAATCATACCAATTAATTATATATTATATTTTAATTAAGAAAAAAAATCTTAATTTTGGTATTTAAAATAATTTCCTTAACTTTCTTTCTTTTGTCATAATTTTAGTTTTTATTTTTTATTATTTTTCCTTTTTCACAAAATTTTCTCTGTTTATTATTATTATTATTATTATTTTTTAAAAATTATTATTCTGTTTTTATTTGAAAAATAAATTAGAACTTTATTATTGAAAAACTTTTAAAATATTTTATTATGTTGGTAACATTAAAAAAAATTTTCTTACCTAAAAATTTCTTATGAATTACTACTCAGATTTTCTTAAAATCTCATAATCGAAAGTTCACATCTATTTTTTCTCGATTTAGTGATATACATAAAATGCAAATAATGAAACATAATATATGCACTCTTTATTTGTGTATTTATATTTTATTTATTTATTTTATTTTCTTTTAAAACTTTATTTGTCATCATTTAATTTTTTATATATATTTTTAAAAAATTTTATTAGTTTTTTTTTCGCATTTTTTGTTTTATGACTAGATTAGAAAGTATTTCTTATTGAAAATTTTTATAAACACTCAAATACATTGGAAGTATCTAAAAAAATTTTTTTCACTTAAAAATTTCATAGGAATCACTAAGTAGATTTATTTAGAATCTCATAATTGAAAAAATTTTCATTTAAAAAGAATTTTTTTCTTTAAAAAAAATTAACACTTTTTTTTCTAAAATGTTTATTCATTTTTTAAAAATTTTAACAATTAAATATCATAGATAAAAAAATAAATAACTTAACCAAAAATATAAAAAAATAAAAAATTTACCCAAAAAATCTTGTCAACACTGTCAATCGATTCGGTGGCGATTTAAATAGTTTAAGCGCGGTTCAGGTGTGGCTAAAACACAATTCCAAAGTAGTTTAACTATCATTCAAGTAGTTAAGGTAGCTTGTTGGCAGCTCGGTCACCGGTTCAGTCAAATCGATTCAAGGCTAGTCAACAATATCCAAATGTAAATCAAGCACACGAACCTTAGGTCGAGTTAGGTTCATGAACAGGTCATTGGTTCTTTTTTTCATGTTATAAAAGCCAAAAATTTTTTCTTCTTGTCTCTTTACGTTATCTCTATTTCTCTCTCTAACCTTTTCTCCATCCAACTGTCGGCACTCATCTCTAAACCTAAAAACTAGTTAGTGGCCATCATTCTCCATCATCGATCGCATCAGTGCCATTAAGGCCCAAAATACATCAAAAATTTCTCTTTTCCTCTTTTTTCTTGTTTTCTAGCTAGTTTGTTTAAGAATACCTTGGATTTTTCTATATCTGAGCAGAAAGTTTCGGCTTTAAAACCCAAAATCT